GCTCGCTGTCCTTGATGCCTGAGGATGCAGAAGAGGGACAGAGAGTAGGGAAGAGTTGACAGACCCTGGGTTTGGAAAACCAGAGCAGCCCACGTGATTTGGCCCAAGTGCTTGGGAGACGAGGCGCGCAGGGCGGGGTGCTCCCCAACACCTGGGAGGAGTCTGGTGGCCAGGCACGCTCCTTTTATTCCACCCTGACCTCCTCCCCGCACACCGCCCCCCACCCCCCCCGCCACCCAGAGTGCTGGTTTTTATCTTTTCTGAGTGGTGTGTAACCCCCTGCATTTGTCCATGCGTGTTTTCTAAGTTTGTCACAAACTTCCTGTTTGGGTATGGTTCGGGGCTGGAAGCTTTGTGTGTTTTGAAACCTGGCGTTCACAGAGGCCCAGTGCTTCTCTCACCGGGCGTGGGGTGGCCCTTTTGTTCTCCTCCCTTTTGCTGACTTTTGCCATCCTCCTTTGCAAACCTTCTCGCTGGGAAATGCTCTGTAGCTTCTGTACTTGTTTCTGTTAGTGAGGTGGAGACCTGGAGATCTGAAGGCTCAAGAGGGAAGGGAACAACACTTATTGGGCCCCTTATGTAATGCCAGGATCTGTGCTAGATTTTTTTTTTTTTTTTTTGGTGAGGAAGATTGTCCCTGAGCTAACATCTGTGCCAGTCTTCCTATATTTTTTGTATATGGGACACTGGCACAGCATAGCTTGATGAGCGGTGTGTAGGTCTGTGCCTGGGATCCAAACCCGCAAACCCTGGGCCGCCAAAGCAGGGCACGTGAACTTACCCACTACCCGACTTGGCTGGCCCCGATGTTCTAGATGTTTTTGTCCATATCTTTTTTTATTTAGGCCTCATATTAACTCATGCAGAACCAGGCTCAGAGAGGTTAAGTGACCAGCCCAGGGTTGGACAGCCACTGGGTGACAGGTCAGGATTTGATCCTAGGCCTGACTCCAGAGCTACTGTTATTTCAGCTACGTCATGAGGACCACACTGTGCCTTTGGTTCCACTGGTTTGGAGAGATCTTGATTTCTTACTAAGCATCTTGGCAGACAGCATCACCTTGACCTCCAGAGTTTTCTCCCAGACGCCTGTTATCCAGGTGCTGCCCACTCTGTGTGGGGTGCGATTTGATGCCGTTAGGTGCTTTGCTGACTTTCACCTTTCCCAACCATCCTCGCACTGTGGCCCCGGGACTCCCAGAATTGTTGCGTGGTCGTGGCTGACGATTGGAGTGGGTTAGGGCCAACTCCCATTTCCCAGAAATGGAGTATCCTTTTTCCTACTTCTGGGCGCCCACCACTGACCATTCTGCTGGTCACCATGAGCTCCACTCAGCTGGATTGCTCACATTTCAAGCTCTTCCCTACAAGAGGGAAGAAGATAGGATATCTGTGTATGTCTATAAAAGCAGGTGAAGGGGTGGCTAAGGAAGGACACCAAGACCTTGAATATGTAGGAGCGGGAAGAGGAGAGGAGAGCTAAACCCAGCTACCCTCCTTTTTTTTTTTAGTAGAGCTGTTATAGGGTGCCAGACTCTGGGTGATCCTGGGAAGGAAGAATGGGTACTGTAGGCTTCCAGAAACTTCAAGAAGGCCATGTGTCCCTGCTCTGACCCATCCCAGTTCTCTTGTACTTTCTGCAAAACTTCTAGAAGTATATCATCTGAGCTTCATCAGAATTGTTCTGTAGATCAAGTAACATTGACCATGCTAGACCTTGTGTTGAGCAGTGGGCAATTCCAAGCATTTTTAACAGATACATTAATTACCCTCAAGGGGTTTGCAGTCTACGTGGACAAATGGAACACTTGCCAAGAGAAGCTAAAGGCAGTGAGCTCAGAAGAGCCGGGGATTGCTCAGCAAGCCGGGGTGGTGCTGCTCACTGGACTGCAGGAGAGAGCAGGGCGGCCAGAGGGGTGGCGCTGAAGGGGAGGAATGTGCCTGGCACTGGGGCCCTGAGCGGGGCGTGGAAAGGGGAGGAGCATACGGGACGGGGTGGGAAATAAGACTGAAGAAGGAGGTGTGCATGCTTTATGAAGGATCCCAAGGTTCTGCCTGTGGAGTTTGGAATTTTCCAGTATTGAGGAGCCACGAGAGCCAACTGAGTAGGTTGAGGATTGGTAAAAACAGTGCTGGAAGAGGGCTCCTCTGGACGCGTGCCCTGGAAATGCGGACGCTGGGAGGTGAGTTAGGAGACGTTTGTCGCATCGAATTTTAGGAATGAAATGTTGAGGACTTGGACTAGGGTGGGGTGTTATCAATGTAGAAAATAAGAGAGAGAGATGGGAGGTTTCAAATCCCAGCTCTGCCCCTTGCTCCCTGTGTGTCCTTGAGCAGGTCACTTAAGCTCTTGGACCTCAGTTTCATCGTCTGTAAACAGAAGCTAAAAACACTTCACAGGACTGTAGCGTGAGAGTTCTAAGTTGTGTCACACTCAGCACATAGGAGCTCAACAAATAGGACCCCCCTCATGTTGTAGGAGGCACCATTTGTGATTGACTGGCAGGAATTAGGGGAGTTGAGAGTGAGGCCTCAAAGGGTTGGATCTGGAGCCTGGGAGCCTGCTGCAGCCTTGACAGAAATGGATGGAGGTGTTTGGGGTCCCCGAATTCAGTTTTAGGAAGACTCTCCTCCTACATCCAGGCTGCTGGGGGCCAATCCCAGAAACCCCACAGCGGTGCGGGGTGTGCCTCTACGAAAGCCTGGCCTCTGGTTTCACTTGGGCCCTCTGTGGTGCCGGCCAGTAGCTGGCTCTCTCTTCCATCAGGGTCGGCACTGGGTGAGGCGAGAGGGTCACGTGGAGCACCGAATTTAGGGGGGGTGCTCAGTTTCAGAGCCGACCCTGCACTTGCACGATTCTGCATGGTGGGATGTTCCACGCTATCCCCACCTCCATCAGGCCCCTGCTCCCTGTCTGCCCTTCTTCCCTTGGGAGACAAGCTGGCTTCATTAATTCATTGACAAAGTCAAGTCACTCAGTGTGAGCCCACTCAGGCTCCTGCCTGCCCTCCCGGGCAGTTATCAATATCTGAGCACATTCCCAGCTGCTTTCCTTCCACTCAAGGAGGACACGTCCCTCCTGCTGGCCAGAGGGGACCTTCTTCCTGTACGTGGGTCCCGCATCTCCTTTTGCTCCTGGGTCCTCACCCCCTCCCGTCATTCAGCAGTAAAGTCTTTCCTGAAACCTTCATCCCACCCCCCTCACTCCCAGTCTCTTTTCTCCTCCCCTCACAGAAGCGTCTAGAAAGAATCTGCCCTCAGGTTTTGCTGCTTTACTGGCATAGCCCATTCACGCTGGCTTCTGCCCGTGAGAGGTGTGGCACAGGGGAGGGACCTGGTGGATTTTCCCCAGAGGACTCCTGTCTTCTCCAGGCACTGCCCTCTCCAAGGTCACCTTGGCCTCCATATTACCACACCAACGGACACTTCCCTCTTTATCTTTCTGGACTCTTGGCAGACTTTTGGCACTATGAACGACTTCCTCCTTGCAACTCTCTTTTCTCTTGGCTTCTTTCATTCCATAATAAATCTTTCAACAGTTATTTTTTGAGTACCTACTATGCACTGGGCTCTGGGATATACCAGAACATGATGTCCCTGCTCTCGGGGAGTTTATAGGGTAGTGTGAGAAAAGAGGGATAAAAATGTAAACAAATGCCAGGTGGTGATAAGGACTACAAGGAAGAAGACAATGCGAAGGGGATAAAAAGCTTGCTGGGTTGGGGTGGAGGGCCTCACTGGGAAAGTGACATTCTGGCAGAAAAATGAAGGAAGTAAAGGATGCCTGGGGGCAGAGTGTTGCAGGTACTGAGAAACTCTGCTCTTCTCTCTGGAAGAGCAAGTGCAAAGGCCCTGAGGCAGGAACCTGTTTGAGATGCTTGAGGAAGTTACTGCCACTGGAATGGGCAGAGTGGAGGAGAAGAGGTCAGGGAAGACGCTGGGCTAGGTTATGTGGGCCTTGTAGGTCATTTCCCTTTACTTTGAGATGTATGTCATTTCCCTTTACATGGTCTTTTCCCTTTACTTTGAGAAAGATGAAACACTATAGGAGTGTTTTGAGCAGAAGAGTGATTTTTCAGTGATCACATAGGCTGCTGTGGGGAGCAGGTGTGTTGGTTTGCTGGGTCTGCCATAACGAAGTTCCGCAAGCTGGGCAACAGGAGTTTATTCTCTCAGAGTTCTGGACGCTAGAAGTCCAAGATCGAGGTGTCAGCAGGGCCATGCTGCCTCTGAAGACACAGAGGAGGAGCTAGTCCAGACCTCTCTTCTGGCTTCTGGTAGTTCTTGGCTTGTGGCAGCGTAACTCCAGTCTTCCCGTGGTGCTCTCCTTATGTGCATGTCTGTGTCCAAATTTCTCCTTTTTATAATGACATCGGTCATCTTGGATTAGGGACCCACCCTACTCTAGTGGGCCCCATCTTAACAGCTAATTATATCGACAATGACCCCATTCCCAATTAAGGTTGTATTCTGAGGTACCGGGGGTTAGGACGTCAACAGAGAAATTTTGGGGGAGATACAATTCAACCCGTAACACAATTCAACCCATAATTCATGGATTATAGAAAAGCGAGGGTGGGAGCAGGGAGGCCGGTACGGAGGTTCTTGTGAGAACCTAGTGAGAGACGCTGCTGGCTTGGACCAAAGTGTCAGCAGTGGAGGGGGTGAGAAGTGGTGAGAGTTTGGATATGTTTTGAAGAAAGAGCTGCCATCATGGGCTGATGGATTGGCTGTAGAGTGTGAGGGAGAGAAGGGCATCACAGTGACTCCTGGGTTTGGGACCTGCGTAACTAGAAGAACGGAGGTGGATGTCTTTCTCTCTGAAATCCTTTCCTTCCTCAGCAGCCTTCGTAGAGCCTTCCTCCTGGGCGGGTCCATCACCTGTGGGGTTCTTCACGGCTCCATCCTCGGCCGCTCCTCTAGTCCCTCTCTGGTTGACGTGATCTGTTCTCATGTTGAAGCCAAATACCCTGAATGTGCTGTCTGGGTTGCTCCTACAGGCCCTGGCTCTGGAGGATGCTGAAGGAGGAAGACAGAAGCAGGACGACCCTGAAGGATTAAGCCTCTTAATCCTGAAACAGGTAGCTTCTCTGAAATTCTTGGTGCCTGAATGCTTTAATGACAAAGCAGTCATAAGAACATTTCTTTGACCTCCACGGCATGGAAAATGCCCCCGAAAGGGAGGGCGGGCTGCTCTGGGCCTGGACACCTGGGATTTCTGGGGAACTTTCTCCGGGAAATGATCAGTGATTGCAGATCCACATGTTGGAGTTCAGCGTCATCTGTAACAGGGCTGAGCGTGTCCTGTCTTGTCTCCCTGGACTTCTCAGAGTTGTTGTGAATAGTGAAGGATCCTAAGGATGTTCATGGATGGTAGCTCTCGAAGTGTGAAGAGAGAATTAGACACCTCTGGAGAATTGTGGTCCAGAAGGCCGCTCTGAGAAACTCCACGGGGCCTGTCAGAGGCAGATTCCTGGACCAAGGAGCCTTTGAGCTGGCCCTGATGTTTTTATCAGCTCTGGCCTTGTGATTTCTTCCAGGCTCAGTTTGTTCCTCTAAAAAATGGGCCCATAGCTATGACTCCTCTGCCAGGTCCCACAAGGAAGCTGTCAGAAGGGTCAATACATTTGTGTATAAATATAATTTTTTTTGAAGTTTAAACCCTGGTCTAGCAAGAGACGGCTATTTCCCACAAATTCTCAATGACAGTGGGGAAGGAGGGTGGCGGTGTCTAATTTGATTCTTTCATTGTGTATGGTTTTTTTTCTTGGCATGTGCCATACTTTCCATCCCTCTTATGTGAGACTTACATTGCTTCCATTTCTTTTTTGTTATGCCTGATTTTGGTTTAATTTTTAAGCCGTTGTTTCTTGGGGTTCCGGTAGGAAACAGATGGCTCACTCAAATAGAGTAATCCAAGAGACTCTACCGAAGGAACTGTTTGGCGGAGGCGGGGCCAAGAGAAACCAGCACGGGATGGTGGAGCATCCCAGGGCCAGCACTGTCAGGGAGCTGTTCCCATGCCCGTGTCTGAAAGGAAGAGGGAGGGATTGGGAATCAGAACTGGAAAGAGACGCTGTATGGAAAGGGCATCTGTGGTAGAAGGATGCAGTCAACTTACAACAACACAGCTGGGCAAGAGCCAAGAGAATAAACATCCTCATTGAACTTCCCTGTCAGTTCTCCCATCTCCTGATGGTGCCTCCCATTAGGCCTACGAAGCCAGAAGCCAGAAGGCAGGGAACCATATTATGAGGTCCATAGAGATGGGAACCTCTAGGGCTGGGGGAGGGGAAGAGTAAGCAGAGCTCTGGGGGTTGTTGGGGGAGGAGTGAGATGGGTGCTTGGGAGGGCAGCAGTTGACATCCACCATACTATATCAGTTATAGAAGTCTTACTAATTTGGACTAATTGTTGTGGGTAATAGTGAGAAGAGACCTGCCCTTAACTAGTTAAAGACAGAATTTTAAAGTGTTTTCGCGCAGCATAGTTTCAGACAGAATCTGCCTAAACAGTTGCCATTAGCATCTGCTTTTCAGTGTGTCATTAAACAAAGGAACTTCTAGTAGGTTATATATGCCTTCCACAGTCCTGTTTAATTTCTAATATGCTTATTCAACATTTATATAGCCGGAGTAAACACTGAACTCAAATTCTGGGTTAGTGGAGATTAAATTACAGTAATGAGCTTCCTCATTTATAACCTCATCTATAAAATGGGAATAAGAATAGCGCCGACTTTATAGGTTTGCTGTAAGGATTAATTGAGGTGTTCCAGGTGAAATGTCCAGTGGCTGGCCCGGTAAATGTTACCTTTATTAGCTCATATGTCTCAGAATCTTGCACATTATGTGTTTATGTGCATGTTTAATCTAGGAAATTAATTCTCTTCACAACAAATGTATTATCTGTTGCTCATTAGCTCTGTTAGAGATGAGTTAAATAAAGGGATTAAAATATTTAGTGTTTACGGATTTTTTTCTACTGAACTGGCTTTTTTTAAGAATTCATTTTGAGGAAAACCTAAATAAAGAAAATTTTAGGAAGCATACACTTAAGTTAATGGTAGGTATAATCCTTAGAAAATATGGATTTTTAATTTTACCGGTAACGTCATGATGGATTCTTGGTTGAAAAATCTTTTAAATAGTTGAAGGCCTGTCATGACCTATCCCAGCTGATTTTCTTGCCTTCATTCTTGGTTTGGTGGCTCTGGAGAGGCAAGTGACCCTCCTTGGCCTTGGCTTCCCAAACCAGGCACACGGTCAGGCTTTTCTGGATGGGTTTTAGGATCCCCTGGCTTGGGTGAGATGCCGCAGTAGCGAGAAGCTAGTCTTCCATGTTTATTTCAGTGGAATTTCAGCTGACAAAATGCTGTAAATGGTTCTCTGGAGCCTTTGGTGCGTGAGGCTGACCTCGCAGAATCCCAGGACAGTGAAGTGTCCTGATTGGGGTTCCCAGATTAGTGATGGGGAGAGCACAGGTTGGCACAGCACCCCCAAGCTCTATCACCTCTGTTCCCAAACCAGGAGGAGATAGCTTTGCGGATGAGAGATGGATAGGGTGCAGCGAGGGGCCTGTGGATAGAGAACAAGTTCAGAGCACCCAGGAACTTATAGACCAAAATGTTTCCTCTTCCTCTCCCCTGAGTATTGAATGAAATTAGCCTGAAATTTTCTATAGATTGTTGCCCTGGAGGCTGGTCACCATTGTGATAACTAGGTAAGAACTAGTGATAACTAGATGATTGACCTTGAATTCCTTAGTTCAGAGGGTGCTGTAGACGAGTGGTTCTCAAATGTACATCTCCCAGACCAAGAAACTAAAAAAAAAAAAAAAAAAGAGAGAGATTTTGGGGGATTGGTTCAGGGGACCAATTTTTTATTTTACCAAGGAAGGATGTTTTAAAAAAATCTAATATCTGTCACCCCAGTTTCATAAAAGAAAGGACCATCTTGATGCTAAAATAGTAGGAAGGAGATAATCTAAGAAGAAGACATAAATCTTTACATTGAAAACATTCAGCTTTAGGAGTAATTTACTCCACTGTTGTTGCTTTTCTGACATCACTTGTGAAAACTACGTCACGGATGAGTGCTCCCCTGCGTCTGTCCATAACCGGTGTTGGGGAGATGTGCGCAACTGTAGGGGGAAAACAGCATCCTTTTTCCTCTCTGGGAACCTAGGAATTCTCTAAAGTCATGTCTTTAATATAAAGAGATGGGAGAAATTCACTTGAACACAAGTCTTGATAAATCCAATTCATTTTATAAAGAAAAAAATTATTTACTCTCATGTCATTTACGTAGAGTTGTTAATTGTCCACGAGTAGGAAGAAAATCTTGCGATACCTAAACAGTTCAAATTAAAAGGTATGTCAACAGTTTTTTCTTTTCCACAATTTAACCCTGAAAATGGTAAATCCACTCAGTTTGATTTGGTTTTTGGTTATGTAGTGTGCTTTTGTGCACGCGTGCGCACACAAACAGAAAATTTAGTTTGGTCTGAAAAGTCGCAGAAAGGAAAGGATGCTTTTGAGAAAAGCAGCATGTGCATCAGAGTTGCTGGTAAGTGTTAGTACTTGTAGCAACAGTTGCATCTTGGAGCTGCCAAAAGAGTAGGACTTTTTAAGATGCTTTTTGGAGTCATTAAAGAACCCCAAACATACACTCAACCACCTCTGGCATTCAAAACAGTAATAAAATATTCTTCATTCTGCTTCGCTTCACATGCCTGCTTGGGGTTGCCACAAACGTGTTTTGCCTTCCAGCTAGGGATTAAGCTTCTATGTGAGGCCATGACTGGTGTGAAAGCAGCTCCTCTGTCCTTGTTGAGGGGGAGGAAGACTGCTCGTGTGCCCCAGTGAAATCCTGAATGGGATCGTGGAACCCTAGCTCCAAAGAGTGTTTTGAGGTCCCTGCCTTCCTGTCAGGCTCTCCTAGCGCTCATCACCTTGACTGACAAAAGGTGGTCTAATCCTAACAGCCCATTGATCTCTAAGGTTTCATGGATCCTCTGTGAACAAGGACGTGAAACAAGATGTGTCTTTCTCAAGAAAAAGCAGACCGTTCTGTGGCACACTCATATCTGTGGTTGTTGCTCTGTTCACAGCCTCATTCTTGGGCATGGTGTCACTGTTTGCGTCTTGTTTGTATTCTCACATTTGCTCATAAGGCACAGTCATTGCATTTTCTAGGAGACACTCAATCTTAATTTGTTGACTCCTTACCACTTGTTTCTCCTAAGGCGCATCTCACTCTGCAGCAGGCTGCGCGATCTGCATAGCTCTAGCTTGCTGTTCTTTTGGGCAGACGTTATCACAACCCGCTTGTCTTAGCTCGGGCTGCCATAAAAAAATACCATAGACTGGGTGGCTTGAACAATAGCAGTTTATTTCTCACAGTTCTGGAGCCTGGAAAGTCCAAGATCGTGCACTGTGCTGGCAAGGTAGGTTTCATTTTGAGACCTCTTCACTTGGTTCGTAGGCGGCCACTCTCTTGCTGTGTGCCTTTGAGCACTCTGGAGAGTGGAAGCTCTGGTGGCTCTCCCTCTTGTCTTAAGGACACTAATCCCATCATGGGGCTCCACCCTCATGACTCATCTTAACCTGATTAGTTCCCAGAGGCACCACCTTCTCACAGGATCAGATTGGAGGCTGGGGCTTCAGCGTAGGAATTTGTGGGGGACATTAGCATTCAGTCCGTAACAATTCTGGATCTTTATTTGTGGCCTCCTCGAAGTGCTCACAGGGTCATTGGTCCAGGAGTCCAGAGGTAAGTAGAGAAAGCCTTAGAGTTATAAGCTTTCCTTGCTGTGGAATAGGTGCCGTGTCTTGGAGAAGATGGCTTGGTGGACTAGAAAGTCGGAAGATCTTCACCACAGAAGTAGAAGTGAGCCGGGGTAGACTGGGGAGCTTGTCTTTTCAGATCTTATGTTCCTTAGTTCCCTATTTCAGGGGTAAAGTTGTGGTTGCCAAACTTGGTACGCCTCAATGAAATTTGGATGGTTCAGCGTTCGATGTTCCCTGACCACCTTCTATAATCTCCTTTATGGGCCTCTTAAAATGAGGCTCTTGGAACCA